TGTGTGTGTGTGTGTGTGTGTGTGTGTGTGTGTGTGTGTGTGTGTGTCTGTCTGTCTTGGGGAGAGGGCACCAGCTTCCTTTGCTGCCTCCTGCAGGAAGGGAGTTATCAAGCTCAACATCTACTTCCAAGAATACAACTATCGCACCATTGAGGAGTCAGCAGCAAATAACGTGAGTCTGGGGGCTCCTGGCACCTCGGCCCCGCCTGCAGTCCCTCCACCTGGTACCCAGAGGACGGTCCCTTAAGCAGTGTCAGATTACTTCCCTGCGCTGAGACGGTCACCCTTTCCCCCTTCCTGGCCAACAACCCACCTCACAGAAACCCGTGAGGCTGGGCTTGAGGCAGGAATCTGTGGCCCGACCAGCCCCCCTTCCCCGGCCAGGCCCTCAGTCCCCCGCTCCCCACAGATCGTCTGGCTGCTCTCAAACCTGGGAGGACAGTTTGGCTTCTGGATGGGGGGCTCGGTGCTGTGCCTCATCGAGTTCGCGGAGATCATCATCGACTTTGTGTGGATCACCATCATCAAGCTGGTGGCCCTCGCCAAGAGCCTGCGGCGGAGGCGGACCCAGGCCCGCTACGATGGCCCGCCGCCCACCGTGGCTGAGCTGGTGGAGGCCCACACCAACTTTGGCTTCCAGCCTGACACGGCCACACACGGCCCCGATGCTGGGCCCCACCCCCATGAGCAGACCCCGCCCATCCCAGGCACCCCACCCCCCAACTACGACTCCTTGCGTCTGCAGCCACTGGACGTCATCGAGTCTGACAACGAGGGCGATGCCATCTAGACCCTGCCCATCCCGGGCAGCCCAGGAATTCAGACCTGAGCAGTGGAGACCGTCGCCCAAGGCCGCATTTTATGATGCCCTCTCCACGGGCCCGGGACGGGAGGTGGCCAAGGCCAGAGTCCAGGTCCTGCTACAGAGAGCCAGCAGCTCCTGGGCAGTCCCAGGCTGAGGGCTCCGTGGAGTAACGGTGCTGGTACGGATGTGGGAATTGTGTTCCTGCCCGCACCCTCCAACCTGACCCAATCCTTGGCCTGGGACGCCCCCAGCCAGGCTCCAAGACCTGGAGCATCCTCCCCTGGAGGCAGGCCACTTCCCTCCCAGGGCCGGTCACCATCTGCCCCGAAGATGAACAGGCAGCACGCTTGTGACCTTGTGAGTGGGTTTACTGAGGGCAGCTTTGGTGGATAGCAGGCATCAGAGGCCCTGCCAGGTGGCACATGTTTTGTTCTGGAAAATAAAAGTAGAAAACACAGAGTCTAGCTTTGTTCTTTGTCTGACTGGGCAGCCAGAGTGCCCTGATGCATCTCTGGGGGTGGAAAGGCGTCCATAACAACTTGAGAGCAAAGGCCTGGCCAAAGAAAGGTCCAAGCTGGTGATTTTTAAAGTTTCTTTCAAGTTGTCCCTGAAACAGTGGCTTTATGCCTTTTTCAGTGTCGTCCAACTTATTTCTTTGGGTTGCAAGAATCAAGAGAGAGAGAAAGAGAGGTAAGATGGGAGAAATACTCAAAACTGACTTAAGCAAAAGCATCTCCAGCAGCTCAAGTGATGTCTGTTCTCTCTGCCTTCCCAGGCAGGCTGTCCTTACTTTACAGCAGCAAAGGGCCATCTGCAACTCCAAACTCAGCTAGGAGAGAGCACCTCTTTCCCAGTTGCCACAGCAAGTTCCCAGGCAGACTCTCATTGGTCACTGAGTGGGTCACATGCCTGTCTCTGAGCCAATCATCAGTGTGCCCAACTGGCAGGCTGCTGGGATTGGTCAGATCCTGCCCATACCTGAGGCCAGTTGGCCCCCAGCAGAATCACATGGTCTGAGGGTGGTGGGGACACGGCTCCTAGGGGTGCTGGATAAAATATAGGCCACCAAGTTAAACTGGAACTTTAGATAAACAGCAAATTAATTTTTTAGTAGACGTACATCCATGTAATATTGGGGGCATATTAATAAATCATTCACTGTTTTTCTGAAATTCAAATTTAACTGAGCTTCCTGTATTTTTAATTGCTAAATATGGCAACCCTAATGGCTTCCCAAAAAGAGATCAGGGAGCTGTTATCAAAGAAGAATGTGGTCTGGCAGCTGCAGACAGCTGACCACTGCAGGGCCCTGCTGTCACCTGCTGGCCCTGGTGGTGAAGGAGCTCTCGCTTCAGACCCTGGGACCAGGGCATCCCAGCCCTGCTGGTCTAGAACACCTGGGTCCTTGGCCTGAAAGGCAAACAAGCTGTCCTCCCATTAAGTGCCCACGATGGCACTGTGGAGGAAGGAGGTGTCATAGGCTAATGCCACTCCAGCCAAAGGCAGCATTGCTAGGGACTGAGTGGGGCAGGCCTTGGGGAAGCCAGGTTTCTGAGCTCAGGGCCAGGCAAGTCTGTACGCTGGAGTCTCAATTCTTGGTAATTACCACACTTACTACTATGACTAGGACTTTTATCAATAGCAATGGTAGTTGTTGTCACCACACTCACTATTATTTGTTGTTTTTAAACAATGACTGTATTGTATCAAACACTTATGACATGCCAGGCACCAGGCCAAGTAGTTTATAAGTAAGTCTTATTTCATTGAATTCTCATAACCACTGGGAAATATGATCATGCCATTTTACAAGTAAATAAGCTGACGCTTGGAGAGGTAAAGTAAGGTGCTAGACTAGATTGCTATTCTTGTAAGTGACATAGGCGAGACTCCTGGTCATAAGAATACCAGTTCCTCAGAGAAGCCCAGGGCTTTCATATTTATTATCTCATCTGAGGCTCTGGCACAGGCAGAGCAATGATTATTATCTAACTCCATTTGCCAGCCCTTTGGTCACAAGTTAATTTGAACTTGAGCTAAAAGGGGAATTCATTGGTTCTTATAATTAAAGTCCAGGGATTTCAAGCCTGGCTGTATCCAGGGCTTCAGCTATAGGCTGTATTTTCTTCTGTGTCGATATCCCTCTCACACAGTTTCTCTCCATAGGCTACTCTTCCCTCCATAGTCCCAGACTCCATTCCCTCAGCTCAGCAACCACAGCAGGAAGAAAGCTTTTCCTTCACAGTCCCAGCAAAAGCCTCGACAGTGAGGCTCATTTGGATCAGCCTGGGCCACATGCTCATTGTGAACCTACCACTGCCACTGAGGATGGGAGATGCTGCCTGGCCATCCTGGGGTGTATCTACAGCGGGCAGCCCCTTACAGACTCCTGTGAGAAGTTTTGCTCAGAGACGTGTTGAAGCGGAGCGGGAAGGAGCTTCTGGCCCCCAAAGCTGCTTGTAGATGGGAGACGGGGACCAGGCTGACGTGGGTATCAGTTGCCATCTCTCTCTTGGGGAGTACTGAGGGCCGGGGTGAAGATGGATAATGGCCCCATCTCCAAAAGCAGGCTCTGGGTCAGACAGACAGGCATTCCTCTCCCCTCCGGATCTAGAGGAGATACAGGCTGTCCTATTCCTACTCTGGGTTCCCATTAGAGCCGTTTAAGGGTGACAAATTAGTCTAGCAGGGCCAAAATTGCCCAGAAAAATGGCATTCTGTAATTCCCTCCTCTACCCGCAAAGGGAAGGTAGGTTACAGACGCTAGAGGACTATGAAATTAGCAGCTATTGTGCACTTGCTACATGCTGTTGCTCCCACTGTGTCTCAGTGGCTCTTCAAATAACCCTATGAGTTAGGTACCGTTATGACCCCTGTTTTTCGGATTAGGAAATGAGGCTCAGAGAGGCTAATGACTTTCCCAAGGTCACACAGCTGAAAGGTGGCAAAGCTGGGAATCAAGACCAAGCCTGTCCTAGTGGCACTCACCCACACTGGCACAGAGGTCACTGCAAAGAGGTTTCCACTTCAAAGCAGCTCTTTTCACCTTCCAGGTGACCAGCTCCCACTCCAAGGCGGGAGCCAGGCTCGAGCCCTGCCAGACACTCTGTGATCCACCACATGAGAAACCAAAATATTTTTCTTGGTGCGGATTCACAGCTGATGCTCTTTCGGGGCCAGCTAAACTGGTTCCCAAGATGTGGGGACAGAATGTGTGGGAAGCCCTGGATGACAAGCCCAGAGAGACACGGCCCTGGCAGCCCAGTGGGGCTGGTTCAGAGGCCACATTCGCGGCAGTGCCCCTCCGGAGGGCTGGCACAAGCAGGCTAAACCAGCTGGGATTATCCTTTCCTGCCGAATCCTCAGTGCAGACAGCACAGCACATGAGAAGCACCCAAATATTCACTGAGGAAAGAAAACAGCCTTCTTTCATTTCATAGTACTTATTAATTGCACTTTCAAGACAGGATCATTTAAAAAATCATCTGAAAATTCCTCCCTGATAAATAATACACCTCTAATTTACAACCTTTTTTTTTGATTATACAAATGAACCACATCTTTTTGAAATGAATTCTGCCCAATCCCAGGCGGATTTTTAGAGCAAATCCATTCTGGGGGCTTCTGTGGCCCCGGAACTCCAGCCCCGACCCTCTTACCAGCCGGGCGCGTGGGGGTCAGTAGTCCACAGCCCGCATGGCGGCCACCGTGGTGGCGAGGCGGCGGGGCAGGCCTTTGCTGACCTGTCTGTAATCCTCGGGTTTGGCCTTCAGGAGCATCAGGATGTTCTGGAGGGTGCGGGACGGCTGCAGGCCCAGGGCGTCCATCACGTTGATCAGGTAGTCTGCGGGGAGGGAGCAGACAGACACAGCTCGACAGACTCAGCACCGAGCCCCAAAGGCCTCGCCGCGGTAAGGGACAAGACACACCCCCAACCCCCAAGTGCTGGCTGCCAGGTCTGCCCTCAGCCCACAAGCCTTCACTCTGAGGGCTTTTCCAAGGGGTCAGACCTGCCTGTGAGCTCGGCCCGGGTCCAGGAATTCTAGTCTCATAAAGGAGTTGCCAACATCGCCCCATCCCCGCCACTCCCACTGCACACTCAGCTCTACAGCCTAGCCGACCTCAGCCGAAGCTCTACCCTCGGGACCCCTGCGTTCCCAGCCCTGCTCCCCAGCAGACCCCACT